CCCATACCCCACAAACCCTCCCTCCATACCCCACAAACCCTCCCTCCATATCCCACAAACCCTCCCCCCATACCCCACAAACCCTCCCTCCATACCCCACAAACCCTCCCTCCATATCCCACAAACCCTCCCTCCATATCCCACAAACCCTCCCTCCATACCCCACAAACCCTCCCTCCATATCCCACAAACCCTCCCTCCATATCCCACAAACCCTCCCTCCATACCCCACAAACTCTCCCGCCATACCCCACAAACTCTCCCTCCATACCCCACAAACCCTCCCCCAATATCCCACAAATCTCTCTCTACAAAAAAAAGTTAAATAGGTTCTCTGGACGAGTTCTGCTTTGTAGAAAAAAAAGTTTTGTCTCTTCTCTGAGACTTCTTTAGTCAAAGGAGTTAAAGGTAAATGTTGCTTTATAAACTGAAGAGGTTTCTTGGAAGAGAGACGAAACATTTTTTCTACAAAGAACTGGTCCAGAGGACCTACCCGTGCTGTTTCTCTAGTTTTAAAATGCTTCATTTTATGTGAACAGAAATAAATAATAATAAATCTGTACCTGAAACTGATAGAAATCATCACCACTTTTATTTTAAATGTATTAACACCTCAGGTTCTGTGTGTTAACACATTAGTTCTTATTAATTTTTAAAAAGGACATTAATCATCTGTAGACTGCAGGTTTGTTTAGTATCAGTTTATAAATGAGGCTGTCACTAAATAGAGTATGTATTTATTAACATAATGACAATATGATCATAATATTGTAGCTTTCTACAGGAAAGTGTTATAAATACTTTTAAATGGGGTTTTTTTTGCTTCCATTGCAAATTAATAAACTGTGTGGAAAAATGTAGAGAGCTGTAAACAATAATTACAAGACATAAAAAACTCAAAGTAGAAGAAAACAACAGAACTAATTACAAAACAACAGTTGGAAATACTTTACTGGAAAACAGGAAAATGCTTTTAGAGCAACTCTTTTTATATGTTCACCTTGAGTTTAAGATTATTTCACACTAAAGTGAAYGTTTCACATCTGTTTTCTCTTTATATTAATTTAAATATTTTTGTCTTGAATCTTTGCCTCCCATTCGCGTCTTTTATGCTTCTTCACAATTAAAAACCTTCAGTGTAAAAACTAAACTAAGAGTTTATTGTTGCATTTCCTGTTTCAGAGCCAGGAAGCTAACTGCAGCTGGTAATGCTAACACGTCCTAAAACAGAAATCATCATAAGGTTGTAGTACGGCCTCCTAGTGTGTAACTGCAGCAACATGTCTGATACAATTATTATTCAGCACAAAAATAATACATATTTCCTGTTTGTATTTAAACTCAGTTGGGCTGAAAGGTTTGTAATTGTGTCTTTCGCCATCAGAGGGCGCTGTTGTGCTGCTGCTCAGCTGCTGTGGACCGGATTCCTGGGTTTTTTCAAGCCTCTTAGCAACAATCATGTGGATTTTGTGCAACTTTGGTCACAGTACTTTGAGTCAGCAATGACCTCATNATAAATAAACTGAGGTCTGGTTTGTGAGTCTGTCTTCATTTGTGTGGTTTGCAGTAAACAGGATCTGATCTCAGATGAAAAAGAAAAGAAAATGTTTTAGCTGCTGTTGTTACTATGAATCATCTGTGCTCAACTAAAAGTTAAATATTGAGTTTCCTAAGAAAGTGATTTGTGTTTAATTGACAAGTTTATGAAACGATGATGGGACTATGATGTAACACTAATATGATGTTTTACTGGTAGCTGGACTCCATCAACAGCTCCTGTTGTTGTTTTCTCTGCTCCATCAGCAGCAGGGAGGAGGCCTGACATGTGACCACTGCTGCTCACACACGCTGGACTTTTACTTGGTTACTTTCCTGCAGCTGAACACAGTTATCAGGTGAAAYAAACAGAGCAGGCTGTTTCTCTGAGTCTTTTCCAACACAGAACTGTTTCTTCTGCTTTAGCACTGATTTATTTACAGTTTCTGTTGTTGTCTCTGTGAAAGAAAGGATTTGTGCTGTAGTTTTTCTAGACCAGAAAAATAACATTATGTGATGTTGTGTATCTTCACAGTGTTGCAGTTACTACAGCAGTTGTAATCTGGTCCATCCATTCATAACTTTATGACAGTTTTATAGCAGCCATGTTGGTTTGGGCTGGCTTCAACACTTAATCAACTGTAAGTGTAAGTAAAATTTTATTTATAAAGCACTTTTCTTAGAAATAACTTCACAAAGTGCTGTACAACACAAAAATACACAAAACAACAATKCAATAAAAACATCATGGAGCCGTCCAGTATTTCCATCCCAAAAAGGTGCATCAGCAACAACATTGAGCCAAATGAAAAAAAAAGACAACAGTAAAAATAAAATACCAGCCCATTCACATTTACATTTTACATTTACAAAAAATATAAACCAAACTTGGACCAAGGCAAGAGAAAACTTCAGCCACCACAACAGGCTCTGGGTTCAACAACTATAACCAAAATGTCGAACTAAAAGGTTGTTTAAAATAAAAGGATTTTAAGCCCTTTTTGAATAATTCGACATCATTGATGGAACGTAACTCAAAGTTAAGGCCATTCCAGAGGCTAGGAGCTGCAAACRAAAAAACCCGGTCGCCACRGGTCCTATAGCGTGTTCGAGGAACGGCTAACAGATTCTGATCCTGAGAGCGCAAACAGAGGACTGGATCGTATGTGGACAGCATGTCCCTAACATCAGCAGGTGCCTGGTCTCTTAGGGCTCTATAAGAACCAGGATTTTAAACTGAAACCTAAAATAAACTGGCAGCCAATGAAGTTCTGAAAGGATCAGAGTGATGTGACTGGATTTATAAGATCGAGTTAAAGTCTAGCTGCAGAATTCTGAACAAGTTGGAGACGATGTAGCTGTTTTCAGTTCAAGCACATAAACAGGCTGTTACAATAATCCAGGCAGCTTGAAACGAAAGCATGTTTGACCATTTCCAGATCTGAGGCAGACATCATAGACCGAAGTTTAGARATGTTACGCAGCTGGAAAAAACATGTAGACACTAAATTTTTAACATGTTTTTCCAGAGACAGGTCCGAGTCAAATATAACACCCAGATTACGAAGACTCTGATGGACAGCTGAACACAGAGAGCTCAATCAYTCCTGAACTTTAGGGATCTCTTTTTCAGGGACTAGAATCAGCACCTCTGTCTCGTCCAAATTAAGCAGCAGCANTGAAACTTATTCAACTATTAAAAAAAAGAAAAAAAACGGCTTCTAAAAACTCTCATTTTTAAAAATATTTTAAAAAATAAAAAGTGTTACAGTGGGCTGCACAAGTATTTACCACCTTGTTGATTTTGTTGCCATACAACAMTGAATTTAAATAGATTTGAATAAGTAAAAGTTCTACCAAACATCCTTCACATTAAAGTGAAGTAGTGGAGTGAATAAATATGCACACACCACTTTCAGTTTTATATTTGTCTGAATTATTTACAACAAGTCATTGTCTCCAGTTATCTTCATGGGACAAGCTTGGTGAAAGTTGATGAATTCACAGCAGAACGTGAAGTTTCAGCTGCAGCGAGCAGAAAGGAGCTGCAGGTTGTCTCTGTCTCAGTTACTCACACTCTGGTTGAACATGTCTGTCTCGTGTCGAAGTGTTGTGTACTGACAAAGGTGTTGTCTAATCATCTCGACTCGCTCCACCTCCAGCCTCTCCAGCTCCTGAAGACAACAGCAGAGAAACATGAGGTCTCCTGGTCTCAGGTTCTCCTCTGGTCTGTGCAGACCTGTCATCTCACCAGGCTGGTGGTGACCATCTCCTCAAACCATTTGGACTGAGACTGGTTATACAGGTCAACGCAGCGCATCAGATCGTCCCCTGTAAAAAACCAAATCAAACATTAAATCAGGGSATTTTAGACTTTATAACACGTTAAATCCACCGAATGGTGAGAGAACACAAATGTTCCTGCACAGCTCAACCTGCACGCCTGATGACTTAAAAAAATAAAACAACTGATTTGACTTGAAGAAGATCTGGACTGACAACAAGTTTCACTCTGATTGCACAGAAGGACTGCTCGTCTTTTACTGTGAAACTGATCCAGCTCACTTCCTGCTAACAACCAAACAACATTAATCATGAGGGAGATTAGATTGATTAGATTAGATTAGATTAGATTAGATTAGGCAGGAAATTATTCTGAGCAGCCTCTAATTCTGCAATAAGAGGTTGTTCACATCAGTGTTTGAGCTCATTTTTAAAAACATGACTCCAGATTGAGCGGAGCATTGATTTGAATGATCAAAAAGGCTCACAGCAAACTGCCTGTAAATATAATACAAACAAATTAGTGCTGGGTGGTATACCGCTTTGTACTGAAAATTGGTTTTTATTTTTGTTATGATATGATTTTTCTGAATACCGGTGTAAATAGCCTGAAGACATACGGAACGTTTCATCACGGCCGCCAGTGAACTGTTTCCCTGGGGACATGTTTCCTCGTAGCACCGCTAAGCACATTAGCATGCTAACATTATTGTNAATAAAAGTACCATTACTTCTTCTTGTTCACTATAGATTTTCAAGCTTTGTTTCACAGCACCAGCAGTCTTCCTTATAATCAGCAGAGCTGAGATGATCCGGTCTTTTGTTTGGTTGAAAGACAACTCAACCAAACGTCTCTGACCTTAAGTGTTTTGTAAAAATCTTTGCTTGCTTTTTTTCCCTTTAAGCCAAAAWGTATTTTTAAACACTAACACAGACTATTTGTGAGAAAGCAATGTGAGAAACAACAAGTGGGAGGACTGAAAAGAGTAAAAACAGACTGAGAAACGCTGTGTGGGATGAACTGACGATGGCCTTTAGTAAAGTTTTCCTCCTTCGTTTCTACAAACGTTTGGTCAAAGTTCCAACAGCGTTAAGATACTTAGTATCACAACTCCRAGTAAAGCTGTGGATTTAAACGTAGGATATGTGACGACTGAGATATGAACATCTGCCTAACGTAGAACAAAGAAACTAAAATGATCCATCCACTCATSCAAGGTCCTGTCAGCAGGTCCAGGAGGGACACCCAGACCCTGTAGATCCTCCTGGRGGGGTCCCAATGAGGAGGAGCAGCACCTCTGTTCTGAGCCTCTCCTGAAACTTCATTTTGGAATCTCCTTTGAGTCGTGACTCAGCTCTCCTGAGTGGGCTGTGCTCTGGAAGATGGACCAGTAAATTAACTCCTACACCCTGGTTCCTGTAGATGAAGACCAGGTTTGTTGTTCCATCTCTTGCACCATGCTGCCGTCTCTCCTAAACTCCCCCACTTGAAGAAAAAACATCACCCTGAACTTGTAGCATTGAGTGTTTTYCTGTCAGAGAAGCATGACGTCAGACAGAGGAGCTGACTCCCATCACTGCTGCACGCTGAGCTCATGGCCTCAGCAGGACTGCATCATGTGGAAAAGGCAGAGATGAGACTCTGAGGTGCCTGAACCACCCCCCCTCCACGACCTCAGATTCTCATGTCTCATCATTAACAGAGACATGAGGCAGCCTTGGTTTGCTTCAGTACGGAGGACCGACACTGACATAATTAGAAATAAAATCAGAAACAGACAAATGAACCTTTAAATAAATAAATACATTTAAAATGCACCAAATAAAAGTGGAGCCAGACAGATATTATATAGATATAAAGGCTGAGGAACTAAACTGAAATGGTTCAAAATATGGAGGACCAACACTGACATAATTAGAAATAAAATCAGAAACAGACAAATGAACCTTTAAATAAATAAATNAACTAAACTGAAATGGTTCAAAATATGGAGGACCAACACTGACATAATTAGAAATAAAATCAGAAACAGACAAATGAACCTTTAAATAAATAAATACATTTAAAATGCACCAAATAAATTAAAAAGGAGAACTTTACCTCATGTTTTATAATTTAATTGGCCTTCATATTTATTTTTCTAGCTTAGTTCCTATAAACTAATATAAATAAATAATGTTAACACATAATTCAAATGTTAATGTTTTTTTAATATATATTTTACATAGTTTTTCCTTTTACTTGTACATACATTTGTGTCTCTTGAATGCTTAAATTGAATTATTTTTATAATTTTGTCCAACAAGTCTTTTTATTTCTATGTGCTGCATGTTTGTGCTGCTGCAGTTTGGCTTAAAGTTTAGTTAAAAATAAACACAGGTAATGTTTTCCTCCTTGTCTTTGTTTGAAACTAAAGTTTAAATTTTGAGCTAAACTGAGGCACGAGCGTGCAACACACAGGCCAATTTCAAGGCATTTAGATGGACTGTGATGCAAAGTCAAATGTATTTTTCATGCAGTATTTTCACAACAACAGAGTGTAACATATTTACTTGATTGTGGTATACAGTTGAGTTATATGCCTGGAAATTACATACACCCCCCCCCCACATACTGTAACGATGATTACAGAAGATGGATGTTTATGTTTGGCTCCAGTAAAATCTGAACAAATTAAACTTGAATAAGAGTCTTTAGCAACAGTGGAAAACATCTGGACTGATGCCAAACTTACTCCCTATGACTCAGACATTCACAGGAATAATTCATGGACCAAAGATTAGAAAGTATGAAATGTTGACTATATAATACTGAAAAAGCAGCACAATGTATTTTAATTCAAACTGTCTGCTTTAAAACATTTTATTTAAATGTTAAAGTTTCTCAGTACATCTTTTTTAGCTGAACTAATGTTTCAAATCAGCAGTATCACGAAGTGTTTTATTTAACTTTTTATAACAGATGTATCATTATCAGGTTGATTTTGTTTATTTAACTGAACAGCTGACAGACATTAGTTGACAGATTCATGTGTTTTTATGGAAATGAGCCCAAACATTCTTACTGGACTGATTTATCAATATGTCAAACCAAAAACCAGGTGTGGTGTCTAAAACAGGAAC